AACGTCGAGAACGTCATTTTCCCCAGCGGCACGCTCGACCCGTGGTCGGCCCTCGCCCCCGACAACTCGACGCACCTCGCCAACCCCAAGTCCAAGGTCGTCTACATTGAAGGCACGTCGCACTGCGCCGACATGAGCGCGCCACGCCCGACGGACTCGGGCCACATCGTCTGGGCCCACCAGCAAATCGAAGCCGCCGTCGCCAGCTATGTTGGCAAGTAATCGTCCAAATTAGTGTGCGTATTCGCACATTCGTCGTTGAAATATATATACTAGTAAGTTTCAAGTTCATCCATTGCTCTTTGATGCACACTGCCTCGCCCACCATATTAGAGAGACAGGGCCGACGGCACGACATTGCTGGACCTGTTCTCTGGTGGTCGAGGTCGCGTGTGAACGGTGTCTGACGTCGTACGAGGTGATTCAGCGAACCTTTACACGCTATCCGCCTGCGCAGTCGGTACGTGTCGATGACAACGATTGCTGCTGTGTCTGCATGCAGCGTGCGAGTGCCTTTGCCGTTGTCGTCCACCATCGACGACGACTTGGCTGGTACAGGCACGCAACGCGACGCCCGGAGGCAGCGTGTCGACAAGTACCGCCACCTCGGAGTGTATGAGCTCGGCGGCGCGGAGTGCTAGCGCAGGTACCTTGGCGTAGAGGACGAGCTGGGCGATGGTCATCAAGCGCGGGCTCGTGGTGCTGGCAGGTGCAGCCATCGTAAGGCCGGAGGCTTGAGGCGGGCGTCGACGCCGACGGCGCCATCTCTTACTCCACTGCCACCGTATCCGGAAATACCGGATACGTTGGCAACAACGTGAGCGCCTCCAACGTCGTCCACACGAGTTGACGTTCGAGGTCACACACGTCTGCGTACAAGAGTTACTATAGCGGCCAGCGCGATGGTCGCCTGTCTTTTCGAGCAGAAGGTTCCCGACAAACCCAGGTTCTTGATATTATCTCTTGACGACGACACTAGTGTCGAAGAATATTCTAGCAGCAGAGACATCAACAACTCGAGTCTGGCGCCGCTGCTGGCGTAAACTTTTGCAACGTCGTCTTTTTAAGCTAGCGAATGGCAAACATACTATGCAGTGTTGCCGGCGACAGCTCCTTCAGCCTGATCACCCGACCTGATCTTATTCTTGGCAAACACGCGTCGGTGAGTCTGTGGGTCCGCGAGCACTCGATCATGGTTTCGCGGTGCATTGTACACTATTTCACAATTCTAGCTGCCTCTTTGAAATACTG